CTGAGTGACTGATGGCCTGAATGACTAACTAGCCAGCTGATTAATTGGCTGACTGACTGATGAACCGACTATCTGACTATCTGACCAACTGACTAAGTGACTGACCAAAAGTAGCTCACCAACAAACTCATTGACACTAAGCGAGTGAGTGACTGACTGACAGACCAAAAGACTAAGAGATTGACTAACGAGCTGACTAACTAGCTGTCTCACTAACTAAGCAACTTACTAACTTAGATGACAATTAACAGACAAATTAACCAAATGACTATCACACTGATTCAACATACTAACTGACTGACTCAACGACCTCCCAACCGCCTTTTTAATGAGTGTCTGTTAGCCTAGATAGCCTGGTTAACCTACTGGCCAACTAACCGATTTCCCGAACTAGCCGAATGACGAGCAGACTAACAGGCCGGTTGGCTGAAAGACTAACCAAGTGAGTAACTGAAAGCCTTGATGACTAACTAACCAACAGGCTCTCTTGCTTTGCTGGGTTGTTCATAGCAGGCAGAGGCTGGCAAATACAGGATCTTCTGTCATAGCTGAGTGGCCAATTTTCTAGGATATGAGGTTGAAGTAGGCTACTATAACATCGTGGTAGATTGCGCCAGTCAATCATATTCCACTCCAGTACTTTAGGTGGCGGTAATGAACATTTCAAAGGGCTTGACAGCTGCTGTTTGTCTCCTTTAAAGATAACCCAGATTATCACGGGAATACTCAGTGGGTTCTGGTTTTTGCTGGAGGTCCTAAATGTCGTTTTAAATTCTTTTCAGGGACAGGAGGAAGAGAGACTTCCTGCATGATGGAGTATTTATAGATGACGAAGTTAGCGCTGCTCCACTGCATCCGTCAGACACACAAGAGAGAGCCAGAAAAGAGCTGTAGAACTTGAGGAGCAACACACACGGCACCACACATTGACGAGAACGCCGCACTGGGTTTTATTCATCCATTTTATCAATACTAAAATTCAGCATGATGTCACAAGTTTCTCTGATGGCACCATTAGTGAACAAAGCCGTCTTCTAGAGATCTTGGGAAAACAGGTGAAATGGCGTGAATCAACATATTTTTCCAGTTTTTTTTTTCCAGAGATGCAAATAAACTCTTGTAAATTAATTCATTCTAATTTTCCCTCATTTTTGTTATCGCGCATCAGGTTTCCCCAATAATAATAATTATTAGTAGTATATACAAGTACAATAATATAATTCATAGTGTAATACGACAGAGTACGACAGATGAAGTATTTGTTTCAAAGATGTTGATAGAGAAGTACAGAGAAGGTCAGAGGGAACTAACTGCATTGTGTCTTTGTAGATCTGGAGAAAGCGTATGACAGGGTGCCCAGAGAAGATATTGTATGAGGAAGTCTGGGGTGACAGAGAAGTATGTTAGAGCGGTGCAGAACATGTATGAGAACTGTAAAACAGTGCTGAGGTGTGCTGTAGGTGTGACGGAGGAATTCAAGGTGGAGGTGGGACTTCACCAGGGGTCAACTCTGAGCCCCTTTTTATTCTCTTTGGTGATGGACAGGCTGACAGACAAGGTTAGACAGAAATCTCCATGCACTATGATGTTTGCAGATGACATTGTGATTTGTCATGAGAGCAGGGAACAGGTGGAGGAAAAACTAGAGAGGTGGAAATTTGCCCTGGAAAGGAGAGAAATGAAGGTCAGTCGAAGCAAGCCAGAGTACATGTGTGTGAATGACAGGGACCCAAGTACAAGAGTGAGGTTACGGAGGAGAAGAGATAAAGAAGGTGGAGAATTTTATGTACTTGGGGGTCAACTGGAGAGTGTGGAAAAGAGGTGAAGAAGTGTGTACAGACAGGCTGGAACAGCTGGAGAAAAGTGCCAGGTGCGATGTGTGATGGAAGAGTTTCAGCTATGATGAAAGGAAAGGTGTATAAAACTGCGGTGAGACCAGCCATGCTGTTTGGACTGGAGAGAGTGCCACTGAAGAAAAGACAGAAGGCAGAGCTAGAGGTAGCAGAGAAGAAATGTTGAGGTTCTCTTTGTGAGTGACCCGGTTGGGTAGGATCAGGAATGAGTACATCAGAGGGACAACTCATGTTAGAGGTTTTGGAGAGAAAGTCAGAGAGGCCAGACTGAGATGGCTTGGACATGTCCAGAGGAGAGAGAGTGAATATATTGGGAGAAGGATGCCGAGTCTTGAACTGCCAGGCAGGAGGCCGAGAGGAAAACCAAAGAGGAGGTTTAGGGATGTAGTGAAAGAGGACATGAAGGTAGCTGGGGTGAGAGAGGAGGATGCACAAAACAGGGTTCGATGGAGGCAACTGATTCGCTGTGGCGACACCTGAAGGGAAAAGCCGAAAGGAAAAAAAAGAAGAAGATAATTCATATTGTAATACTGTATATTTAGTAATATTTGTGAATTAAGTTTTGCTACAAATTATAATGCATGGTGAAAACTGTATTGTGCAAGCTCTGATAGGTTGAACTTAAAAACAACAAAAAAAGAATTTATTTCAAAACCCACATGTGCTACAAAAAAGTAGAGATATTTTTTAGGGACATATAAGTTTAGGGACAGATCAAGTCATCTGATTAAAATTGCTGATGACCTGCAAAGTTATTTTAGCCTTCTAGTCAGATATGTGAGGTCTACTTTGAAAAGAAGTACCGTAATTTCCGGACTATAAGCCGCGACTTTTGTCACACGCTTTCAACTCTGCGGCTTATTTCATGAAGCGGCTTATATAAAGACTTTTCTAACGGCCGCCTGTGTTACCATCTTTCGTTGTAAATATCTCATGTTACAATATGGGCACCTGCGGCTTATACACAGGTGCGGCTTATGTGTGTACAAAATATTTTTTTCCTTTAAAAATGTAGTGGTGCCGCTTATAATCAGGTGTGGTCTATAGTCCAGAAATTACGGTAGTTACGTGAGCTAAATTAATCAGTGTTTAATTCAATCATTCATTTTTCAAAGCACAACAGAAACTTTTTAAAAATGAATTTTTTTTTGTCCCCCTGAATATTCATTCTTTCAACCAAAATGAAAAACCCACTTCCGATTTCTAATTTTGTGTGCAAATGGAAAATTGGGGTTTCATTCAATTTGAGCATTTTCATCTTCCAGAAGTCCAATAGTCCAGTACACCTGTCATAATCTGAAAGATGTCTTTTCTCTACTGATTTCTGCACTTACCAAAAAACATAAAAATAATAGAAATGGAGTTAGTGTTAGCCCATGCTAGCTGTTAATGGCTAAAAAGCACCTAGCCAACCACCAGGTGGTTATTTTGGTGAGTCATAGTGTTTAATTACAAGTTGCAACCTGTTAGGCTATGATAAATGATCTATTTTCCTATTATCTAACAAAGAAGGTGACAATGGCTTGAGCTTGACTTTTCTAATGCTCGGATTAATGACACTGACTTGTTTGGCATCGTTCGGTATTGTTAGAAAAAAAATCAAATTCCAGAAGAATGAAAAAGTAATTATCAGAGAAAATAAAATCACGTTCATTTGCTTTTTCTTTTAGTGAAGGCCGGCGGGGGGTTCAATTAAAATTGGAAATTGGATTTTCGTGTGTGTCTGTCTTGGGGGAGGGACCTAAGATTTTAGTTTTAACCCAAATTACCCAGCCCAACAAAAACATGGACATGAGACACTAAACCACAGAAGAAGAAAGTAATTATGTCATACTGTTGTTAGTGCAAAGCATACAAGGCAAGCCAAGATGGACTTTCACTAGCAAATGTGTCTCCAACCAGGAAGTAGAGACAAGTCATCACAGGTGCATTCGTTCATTCCTTCCTTCATTCATTCATTCACTCATCCATTGATTGATTGATTATGCAAATGAGCTGACTGAACGCTATGTGCTGAGGCATGCGGAAACAACCGAGTCACGTGACCATCTGCTCCTCCGGGAGCGGACTGACTCACTCACTCCAGATTAAAACGCCAACTTGTTACCTCCGACAAGGAGGAGCAGCTTTACTGATCTGCTGGTTTGTGTGCAACTTCATGTTGAGTTTATGATCAAGATCAACCTGGTGTTCTTCCCACCATGGGAATCCCAACATTGGTCACAGGAATATAAGTCTAGATGTTTAATAATAATAATAAATCAGTTTGTGTTGAATCCACCACAAAACTATGCTGTGTCACACCAGGTTGAATCCAGACCTGATCCAGAATCCATTTACACTAGTTTAACGTGACAAAACCATTCCACAACTTTCTGTGCAGATTGGTGGAGACCAACGTATGATCATGTTTTTTTCTATTGCTTATACTTTACTTACCCATCTAGCGATTCTATCTAATAATTCTACCTATCACCCATCCATCCATCATTCATCTCTCTCCATTTACAACAGCTCTATCGCTACAGTATAGCAATCTAACTATCTATCCATTCATCCATCCATAGTTCTGTCTATCTATTCATCTACATATAGTAGTTCTATCCACCTCAATATTATCTATATTGTAGTTATAGTCTTAGTTCTGTCTACCCAGTCATGCACCCATCCATCCATTTGTCAGTCAGTCTTCTTGTCTACCTGCAACATCTACGCATCAGTCAAAACGCCACATAAACCGAATTGAATTTGAATCGAATCCAGATTGACTTACACTGATTTAAAACAAAGCCATTTGGCACTCGATCCTCAGTGCCCTTGCTGAATGTCTGTGGTGCCTCATAAAACTTCAGCATGTGTTCTTCAGACACGTTGTCATCTTTTTATTCAATAATTGAACACAACGTGACCACAACACTTCAATTAACTGCCAATGTGACCACAGCAGTTTTTGTTGCAATTAAGCACATCCTAATAGACTAATAGAATTGTAAGAGTAAATATAAAAACATTAATTAATCAAACCAATATAAAAGATATGTTCCAGTTTATGTTCTTTAACCCCTCTTGTGCTTCTGGTCCGCCACACCTCGCCTTGCTTTAACATTGATCACAAGTTGAATGAAAAAGTAGATAAATTAAGCTCACCTTTCGTCTGCTAGTTGGTTAAAATCCCCGGAGAGTAGAATAGGAACGGGGTATCTATCCAAGAAGGGCCACACAGTCTGAAGTGGCCACTGAAGTAACGCCACCCTGGGGTTGCTTCGTGCTGCTCCCCTAAGCCAAGCCGAGCCGCTTCTCCCGGCCTATTGTTAGCTAGCCACCGGGGAGCCACCCTGGCGACGTGATCTCCTCCCCCTTCTCGTCAGAGCCGCCTCGCGATTGGTCGGTGCGTCTTCTCCCTCGCTCTCGATTGGCTGTTCTGATGGTTCCTTCAATACCACGAGGTTTCCATAAGGAGGGAACGCAGGTGGTGAGTTCAGGGACAATGGGGAATTACGACGGCTGTATGCGCATGAACCGGCAACGCCTTCTTGGCCGACATCCACCTGCTATTTTTTTATATCTAATGTGACACGGTCACGTGACGGGTTTGTACCTCAAATAATATGAATAATGCATCTCCGTCCGTTGGTATACGTTTATTTCTGTTATTTGTCTATCGTGAGAGTTTCTTTTCTCTTTTGTAGGGATAAAAATACAGACTATCCCATTGGAGGCCATTCGGCGTTTTGCCATATAAAGGACAAATGATCCTTGAGTTGCTGAGTGTTGAATAATCAGATTTGAAATCTGGAGCAGTAATCAAATCGACCAGGAGCCCTTTGGACGTAGCTTGTGTAATTGTCTAAGAAAACGGCGTCTCTGTTGACTGACAAATGCAAATAAATCATATTTCTTTAAAATCAAACATGAAAACAAAAGAAATGTGACGTGACGTAACAAGCTGTTACTTTACCAAGTCGATCGATCTCTCTCTCTCTCTCTCCCTCTCTCTCACTCACGCAATGTATCCATCAAGTGGAGGTGAAGACTGAACAATAGCGACATCTAGAGGCTAGAATAACTAACTCAAAGGCAACAAAAGCGAACTGTTTTTTTTTATGTCCCCCCCCCTCCCTTCGCTTCCCCAGTGACCAAGCACCAGGTGGGCACAGCGGGCTGTGAATATTTTCAAGGCTAACTACCGATATGTTCTAATCATATCTCTTTTGAGACTGATCGGAAAATGGATGGATGGAAGAACAAAGTACCATAAATAAAATTAAATCATTTAAGTATAAATAAATAATTTAGTGTACAAAACAGTACTCCAAAAATGAGGCTATGGAAGACAGGCTCAAACCACTTTCCATACTCATGCTCTCTCATCCTCAATTTGTTCCCATCCTGCAGGCATGATGACATCTGCGCTGATTTTGGACCTAACATCCAGCCAATCATCTCCTCAGGATGCCATCAAGAGGAAATGATGAACCATCATCAACGGCGTATCACAGGAAGAGCACAAACTAAAAAAAAAAAAACAGTTTTGTAGTTCCTGGAAGTGGAACTACCGATATGTTCTAATCATATCTCTTTTGAGACTGCTTCAATGAACAATGTTATAAAAATGTAAATGACTATATTATGAGAATTTACATTTTCTGGGTGGCTACTTATAACAATTATTGGTTAAAAATGCATGTTATCATTTACTAAGAAATGTTTAGTGTAGTGCGCTTGCTAGCCGTGCTTTTTGTTCACTGGATCTTTCAATTCTAATATTATTCAAATTGAGCGCTGTTTGGATGTAAAGCAGCCATGAATGCAGCACATGTTTTGGGAACATAAGATGAAAATGAAAAAAAAAAAATTTATAGAAAAATTAATCTTTTATTGGTAATCGACTAAGAAGGATGCCACACTGTTACATTTGTTTACATACAGAAAGTAAGTTAAACAGGCAACAAACTAGTTTGGTTCACAACAACAACAACACGAGTTGGAATTACTGACGGCGACAAACAGGAAGTGCTTGGGACAACCACGAAGTGCTCAGGATGCCATGAAGAAGTGCGGCTCCCATGATGCACTTGTGGTCCATCTACACATACACACACAGGAAATAATCTATTTAGTACATTTATCTAGCTATACAAGTCATATCTTTCCATCTGTCTTGCTAACCTAGTTCTATATCAACAATATATCTAATTTCTCTACTAGCTCGATATGCATCTGGATACTAGTTATCCATCAACTACTTCTAGCTCCATCTATACACTGATATACACAAATGTAGAAGTGTTGTATAGTAGTTCTATCAATAGCATTTCTACCAATGCATCACACTTCTATCTGTGTATATTAGTTATATACAGTGTGGATCAGTGTATACCGAGTATCTGGGTGTTTATGTATGTGATAATATGCGTATGTGTGTGACTGACCAGTGGTCAACGTCTGCATCCTCAAACTGCCCTGCCTCTGCGTTTCCATCCACCTCCATGCCATCTACACACACAAAACACGTCGATGTGTTTTGTGTGGGGGGGAAAAAAATGTGGAAAAAGATTAATAATACATTTAACTTTAGATGACTATCAGGGATATGAAATAAATGCTCAAATGGTAAACGTAAAAACTGTAAAGTTGGGGCACTGGTAAGTCAAGGTAATGATTTAGGTACATGGATAGGTACCGAGTCCAGGACTAAACTGGCCACATGGTTGAATAAAAAAAAAAACAAATGCTGTATCGATAAGCTCTACCCTTAACAGTTCTATTAACAGTCTTGGAGAAATTACAAATAGGAATGTTATTTTCCACCTTCTACCTCTCTGACCTTGTTTCTAACCAACAATCGAAAGTGAGCCCTCTCACGTCACTTCAACGCTGTGTGGGAGAGGAATCCGTCCTGTGTCAGTATAGTGCTGTGTGCTCATATTACGAAGTTACGGAGTATTATATGAAAATGTCTATCATGTCGTAAAACTGTAATGTTTTTATGTTACTTTGACATGTGGGATCTGTATTTGTGCCACGGTGGCAGCGACTCCGCCGGCTTAGCCACACCTAATCGGGGCTTCGAAGCCATACCGTCGGCTTGGGAGCATGGGCCGCGAAGTCAGCGGCTCTCAAGGCTCAAAGAAGAGATGATTTTTCACAAACATACACTCGCACGGCACTGGGTGGCGTCCTTTACATTGGGTTAGCTCTGTTGCTACGAATGTATTCTCATCCAAATGTTTCACACTTTAGGCATGGCTTTCCAATTTCCACTCAATGCAACCGTTACTCTAACGTAAGAAGTTGGGCTATTTTTTATTTGAGTGGTTATGCCTCGAAACTGGAGAGGGACACAGGGATGACGTTGCAGCGTCCCTGTGATCGATCATAAGTGCAATAATCATTGAAATGTTAGTGGTGGGAACACAAGCAAGCTTAACAAACATGGATGCATCCCTACTTTGATACAATGTACTTTAATCCCACCTTCGAAGCGTGCGTCTCCCTGCTCGGTGCGTACGCCGCCCATGTGGTATCTCTGTGCCACGCTGTGCGCCAACATGCCCTCCAGCCTCTCAAGTGTGGCCTGGCCCTCCTGGGTCAGTGCAGACAGACCCTCGTCACACGTGTAGAAAGTTGGGATGTCGGCATGGCCGTGCTCTAATCCAGACATGAAGAGACACTGTTTAAAATGGATGACGGTTGCTGCGCAAACGACGGGCTCAAGTTCAGCGAGTGTGATGGATGTTCTTACCAGCCTCTGTAAACACACACATACATGGAAAGACAAAAAAGTAAATAATGAATTCACTTTGTCACATACTTTACGGATACCATACTAGCTATTGCGAGTAGCAGTAGTTATGGGAAGTAGGTAGTTATGGTTGGTAAGTAGTGTGTGTAGTGAGTAGTGCATCTTACCGGCCTCCTCCACATCATATTCTTCTCCCTCAAAGTCGTTGTCGGAGTCGTCTTCGTCTTCAGGGTCGGGATGCAGCGCCTGACACTCGCACATAGCCGCAAACATTGACTCCACTGTAGACGCAAAAGTGTGTAGAACAAATGACGGATGGACGGACAGACAGGCAGACACAAAGAGGCATGGACAGACAAGAATTTAAGGTTATGACATACAGTATGTACATTATACGTATGCACGGTAACATAATTTTGTCTTTAATTAAAAAAAAAAAACTCTGCTCGCTTTATGGCAACGTGTAATGCACAACGCCATAGGAGGCTAACGGAAATGATCATGGGGTTTTCAAATAAAAGAAACAAAGGAAGGACTCACACGCTGCTTTGTCACCGGGCACAAATCGAATCTCTGTGATACCGCCTTCCTCTTCATCTCCTCCACCATCATCATCATCATCCTCTTCCTCACTACCCACGCCGTCATCCTCCTCATCCGCCGGCTTCTCCGTCATTTCTGCCTCATTCTCCTCTGGAAAGAAGGTCGCATATAAAAAGCTGTTTGGGCATGTATTCCATATCATTGATGTACCGTTTAAGGTCCATCTACTAGTGCATTATTTGTCCTCACTAGTCAGAAAATTTGCTGTAGTATATATGTGACTTTGAATGTGAGTGGCTTTAAGAGATGAGGGCCTGGCCTGATGAGTGATGTGGGTGTCAGTGAAAGAGAGCATAGAGGTGGCTGTCAGTCTGCATGTCGATAGACTTGGCTGTCGGCAGCTTGTAACGTGTATTCTTAGCGCTTGTTCAAAAATGCCATTGAAAGTGCACCGGCGACCGTGTTGACTTTTTAAAAAAGTAGTTGCTTTTTCGATTAATCGTTGCAGCCCTGAAATGCTCTAATGTCTTTCAATGGAAGACCTATAAACAAACCCAAAATAATGAACAGAGCATTTAAGACGTGCGTAGAGTCCTGACCGCTGAGTTTTCCGTTGACCATGACGTAGAGATGTTCTTGGGGATACGCGCTGACATCTCTGGAGATGGCGTGCAAGCCGATGGTGGGGTACTCCAGACTGAAACCCAACCCCGCGCCATCAAACCATGACAGACGCCTGCAAATAGTTAAGTAATGTGTCAACTTTATCCCTACAGACGTTTTAAGTTGTGGCTCATTAAATATACATCCACAATATTAGTACAGGAACCGCTGCTTATTTATGGTTCAACACTCCCTGATTTGATTTGGGAACCTGTTATTCAGTAAAAAGTCACCTATTTGTCATTTTTGTGCTCAGGCCAAAGCCATGTCTAATTTAAAAATACTGCTTTGGTGTGATATTGTATCATCTTGGTATCATGATACCTTGTTCATCTAAGATTAGGAGCTTAATATACTCAGGCCACAAAGGTTCCGAGTGCAAATCTCAGATCACAACTGGACTGCAGTAAATTGCAGGATACATAGACAAACAATGGACTGACACAAGACAATTGTCTGTCATAACACATGCAGACAACAATGGCCAGTCAGGGGCAGACCACACATATTAAACCAAGTAAAACAGCCACAAACCGCGCCAAAAGATTCTTAATTAAAACGATTGTAAATCAGTTCAAGATTTGTTTCTGGGTCCATTTTCAGTTTCTTGCCATTGTTGTGCAGTTTTATTTTGAAGGAAGTTAGCAAGTTACGACAGTGCTCGCGAAAAATTAAAGTTTATGGCTAATACATTCGAAAGCATTTTAAATACCAACTCAAGTAAAACTGTTTCTATTGCCAACAAAAGTGCAGTCTGTCTGAATTCAAAATAACGTAAAAAAGGTTGGATTTGTTTTTTTTCTGCTATTACTTTACTTTCCGAGTCTAGCTTTATCGGATGTTTCGGTTCCTGCAAGCGTGCGTGTAAAGCTGACATCAGGGTCCGAAATATAAATCAGATTAAACACAACAAACACTGATAAAATCATTTACAAATTGTTTTTGAATCACGTGCACATGCTGAAAATTATATTTTAAAAGTAAAAAGTAGCATCAGCAACACCATTCCGAATGCTTCGCCAACTTACGTTTCGGCGACATAGAGCGTCCCGTTGCCCAGTTTCTGTCCGTCCAGGACGGCCGCCGTGTCAGCCTGCTGGAGCCGAACTCCTTCAGTAGGAGGTCGCAAGTTCTTCAACAAAACCATGGCCCTTTTCCACAAACGAGGACAAAAATTCGAAAAGGCTCTCCGTGGCGTATTGCTAAACCTTAGCTTAGCAGGCGTGTGTGGAGCAGCACAAATCCCGATCGTGTATTTATTTAACCCGCGGAGAACACAACGGTGCTGTGCATGGGCTTCCCGGCCTCCGGGAACCAAACTCGTTGAGTCCAAAGAACTCCAAAACTATTAAGAAATTGGGTCGACGTGAAACGTACACTATTCACGTTGTTCCGAAGGTGACGTTTAAATGAACGCGTGAAATCTCGCGAGAACAGTTCGCCAACGTGGCCTGGCGTCGTCAAGCCGTGCGTGACAACCGGAAACTACAGACTAAAGTTCCCGCCGCTGAGGTTAGGTTTAAGAATTAATAAAAATAAGAAATTTTATTTTATAAATAAAAATTATGGATAAGTATTTATTAAATAATTGACAAATGGAATACATTCACGACCAACACTAAAAGCAAACTTCACATCGATAGTATACAATGTATACCATCAATATGAAGTTTGGAGAATTGAATCCTATGAAAACGACATGTGTAGTATACATGTCGTTTTCATAGGATTCAATTCTCCAAGCTGCACAATTTGATGTAAATACTAGTTTTGATCTTACATGTGTACATGTATTTTACATAGACGATGTTAATAAAAATGCAGTGACACGACTATGAAACGAAGATATTCGACAGTGACGTTATTTGCACAAGTGAGTGAAGTGTTCTTTTTAATCTGATTTTAAAAAAGCACACGCTTTTCAATAATTATTTTATTTCTTATAAAACTAAAGTAGGAGCAGCCAAAAAAAGGTGATGCCACAAGCAACAATTCAGGAAGTGACATAATCTGCTCCAACATAAATAACGTAAAACAGAAGGAATTTAACCCAAAATTCAACAAGAAATGCATCCAAGTGGGATCTACATACTTTGTGGATGCACGACACTTCTCCCTGAAATTTTACTTTAACAAAGCCAATACATCTTCCCACAGCATATAATTAAGCTTTCACTCTGCTCATCTAAGCAACCTTTTCCCAAGTTTTGCCATCCTTTGGTGTAAAATACCAATACCGCCTTTTCAGAGGTGGGACGTCAGCTGTGCGTAAGGCGACAGTGGGGAGCCAGGCACTAACATCACCCTGGAACTATCTGAATATAACAAACCACAACAGCACTATCCTACGTCTGTGAGTTCAGCACAAAAGGCATGTGAATCATTGCAGGCTGCAATGAATTTGGCGGAGAGGCAGCGTGAAAGCGGCCTGTGATAGCAGTGAAGTCCCGCCAATACGGAACCCTCCTAAAAAAACAATTGTAATTACCTGTAGATGCCAGAATATTGCCAAAAAATATATTTTTTTTCTTTTAGACAAGACAATGGCTTAACTAAATGAATCTCCTAACCTCATTTCAACATACAGTGAACCCACATGAAGATATGAAGAGCAAAAATCCGGGCATAATTTGTGCTCTGCCCTAAAAAGGTCTGCAATTGCGTATTGGGCAAGGCAAAGCACTAATTATGTCTAAATGAATGCCTGTCTGTGTTTCCAATCATTTCAACGTTCGTCCTTGACATCAAGATGCTGCTCGATGGTGATCAAGCAATGCTGCTAGTACTTCTGCTCAGGCCAAAGTTTTGACGAATCAAGTTCTAACAAAAACAAATCAGTGTAGAAGCGAATGAATAAATTATAGCCCTCTGAAGCTGCTTAGCACCAGAGCTATTTTTTCATATTACCCTAGTGAGGATAAGCGGTATCATGAATTTAAGTCTGGCAAGATATGGCTACCGCCTGAGCACAAAATCAGAGAATAGGCGAGTTTTTCAGTGAGCAACAAAGGATAAGATTCTGCCCCCTGTGAATAGACGAATTTGGAAACACGGAACTGTGAATATGCGGGGGTTCACTGAAAATACCACAAGCTGGGTGGAAAGCATTAATTTTCTATTAGCCATGCTTTTGGCCTGAACACAAAATATCCATCCATCAAACCATTCACTGATCCGTTTTATCCTCACCAAATAGGCAAACAACATTTTTCAGTGAATAACATTTAATAGACTTTACCCAGGCCCCCCCCCTCCCGTGTCGAGGAAAATGTGCAAATACAGAACCATGTATGGGGGGGGGGGGGTGTTTCACTATAAATGCCATAAGTTCATGGCAAAACAATATTTTCATGTTAAACAAAACTTTGATCTGAGCACAAAAGCAGTGACCAGGTGAGCTTTTGAGTCAGAAACGGAGGATAGGTTGCCCGTAAAATTTCAAAATAGGCGAACTTGTGAAAGCTGAACTGCAAATATACGTGGGTTCACAGTATTAAGGCTCAAATTGGTCTGTTTTTGTTGTCTCTTGGAAGCAGCTTTTAGACCCCATTGTGGGGCGAGCACACAAAGGCCAGTGAGACATTCCTTGGGGCGGTGGGGGGGGGGGGTTTAGCTGCCCAGGCCAGAAAACATGTCAGTGAGGGTGGGCTGTTGGCCGCTTCCGTTTTGCGAGGAGGAGGTGGATGCTTCCGGAGAAGAGGAGGGTGAGGAGGAGGACAGGGACGTGGGGGAGGTTTTGTTAGTCCTGGGGTTTCTCCTGTGGGAGTTGGGGGTCCCGCGTCTGAGGGGGTACGCGTCGGCAGAGCCTTTTCTCCGGTCCGTTTGTTGCCGGCTCTCCTCCTGGTCGAGCTCCTCTTGCAAGAGGAGCGCCATCTGCCGGTCAGCCTCCTCCTGGTGACGGCGCCTCTCCAGCTTGGCCTCCAGTTCCGCCTGTATCACTAAGGCGCCCTCTAGGGGCGAAGAGGAAGAAGAGGGCGAACGGTGGCATCGTCGCTTTGCCTCCTCTTCGTCGGTATGTTCAGAGCTTTTCCTCTTGGACGTTCCTTCATCAGCGTGACAGCTTCTGCGGTGACGAGCCTCCAATGGCGAGGCCGGACCGGAGCGAGAGTGGTCCGGTTGGTCCCGCTGACTGCTGTAGAGATCCGCAAGAGGGAGGGGATGCCCATGAGAGAGGAGGATATTCTCCTGGAAAATGTCAACCAGTGATACGGAAATCCAGTTATGACAATTATTTTTCTCCCCTAATAATCGCTGCATTCAGCTTTGGTGATTTTTAAACATGAAGTCAAGTCAACAAATAAATAAATGAATAGATAGATAATCTCTGTAATAATATATTGCATGTTGCCCCTTCTCGTCTAAGCATAATATTTTGGTTAAAATTGCATTGGTGGAATAAGAATTCAGCAAATTAATCCACCCGTTTTCATCTTGCTTTGGGGGCTGCCATTTGATGACATTACTGGATACATGATTAAAATTGCTGTCAAGGTGCCCTTGAAGGCTCATATATTTTCTTTTTTAAAAAATATTTCACTACAAATATGTAACTATGATTTTTTTTTTAAATCACGAAGCATATTAAAGCATTTGTAATTGCATTTTTTTTTCTATGTACTTTTGTATAGCATTTATCTCGATTAAACTAATCATTCCACACCCCGCCCCCAAAAAGGAATTGTTTTTGAACAACTACTAAAAACAGGTAAATTAACTTATATATGTCAAGAAAGAATATTAAAATGTGACTTTAAACATTTCTGTACGGCTAATACAGTTCGTGGTGTGATGTGGAACAGATGATGACTGGTTCCATTATTTCCCGAGTGGGGGAAAATATTCTAAATATGAATGCATTGACGGTCTCGTTACAGATTTTAAAACGAATCTTCCAATTTGTTCTACTTGTTACAATGACAACAAAAATATTCAAATATTTTTGATACACCTTGTTAGAAATCAAAGTGGAAGCCGAGCTGCAGCCTGACGGGCTCGACTTGGACGGAAGTCGACACAAGAACCTGTAAACACACAAACGCACGCACCCAGAGAATAAGAACGTTTGTGACGACCACAGAACTACTTTAGCGATGACAATGTAGGACACCAACCGACTAGAACGTGTGGCTTTCACTTCATAGTTGAGAGGTGTATTTATAGGTGTGTCTTAATAAAGGTACTCCTCAATTTCAGTCATTTAAAATGAGAAATATACATACATTAATGTACATGCATTAACTGTACACAGTTAAACATCATGATTTGATTTGTAATATGTTGGCAGTTATTGCCAAAGGGTAATGCAAAACACATGAAAAACATGACAAGAAACAATCTAAATTATTTTTTTAAATTCAAATTACACAGGAAACGACCTGCTGAAAAGTTTTTGCATTTTTGTTCAGTGAATCGGTAGAAGAATTACTTTTGGAACTCATGAAATGAACTTTTCCCCCACAATCTTCTTGTTTAATAAGACACAAAATGGTGGACATGACAGACGAAACACATCAAATGTCGATTCGGCGAAAACGATTTTGAAAAAGATGGAAATAAGTCACTGACTTTTCAATGTGCCCCGTCGTGTTCACTTTCTTCCTGGCTGGAGTGATGTGAGCAGGATGATGGTTGTCCGGGGAGACGGGAGCAGCGTTCTACAACAAGAGAAATGAGAGACTCGCTGGAGCTTTATCAGACGATGGACGTCATTTAGAGTGAACCCGTCTACTGTGGGAGATATGTTCCCGCCCCCTTCATCACAGTTGAAAATCTCTAGTAGTGTGAAAGAGTCTCCACACTGTGACTGACCAGCTCTTTGCTGAGCACCCAGGCCAGCCTCTCATCTTCCTCGCTCCTCCTGCGCTCTTCCAGCAGCATCTTCTCCTCCTCGACCAGGAGTCTGTGGATGTACTCCTCGCTGGCCCGTTGCTCCTCCTCGTCTAGCTCTCGTTTCTCCTCGGACAGCTGACAACAACACAAGGTAAGATTGCAGATTTAAAGGGTAATTAAATCATATGAAATTAAATCAATAAATGGGAATTAAATGCGCACAAGATCAAAGAGTGTAATTATAATTTTTTTTTTTTTAAACCTTGCATGGCAGAAAAGACTGAATATGTTCGACACTCTTCATGGTCTCAGGGGACAAAATACTCACAAACCTTGCCTCCTCCCCAACACTGCACGTCTCAATGACCATTGAAATCGTGGCTTTTGCGATTACATAACTGCGTTTTATCAAATCGCGATTATATTGCAAACGCAATTTATCATTCAGCCCTACTCGGAACCCATAATATTTGGAAGTTCAGGACTAACTGTACAGCTATGGGAAAAGAGCATAGTTTAGAACCTGGGTTTAAAAACAATTACACTTTGTTGGGATGTTTTGAATCTGTATTTATTCATATTATTAGTCACTGTGATAATGAAGGATACCGGCAAATGGGGGGAGTGTATCACACGCGAGTACAGAAAAAAAAAACAGCTTTTTAACGGTGATTTGGGGGAGCAGTATTATACACGGGTGTGTGTTATTCACGGGATTCGACAGTGGTTGTGTTTTCCATGGAGATCAAACTTACTTTGCTGATCTGTTCCTGATATTCTTGTCTCAGCTCACCAGGCTGACTCATCCTGGGGAAAAAGGCTAACAGAGACTCCTTTTTATTTTTCACGAATCAAGGGTTCGGTGAATGTGCATATGAACTGGTTGGATTTGGTCCCTCTAACAAGGTTAAGAACCACTGCACGAGAATAACACATGGCGAACTACTGTGTAGTGTTAAGTATTATGACATGCTGCAGGAGTACCCGTCAGGTCGTCTTTGTTGACGGCATCCTGTCCGCCGATGCGTCGCTGGCAGTGTTGTGGGAAGGTGACCTGGATCTGCGTCCACAGCTGCTGGTTGACCAGAGTCTTGTTCTTGTTGTTTTGCCGGGCCCAAGTAGACACGCGCTTCCTGCACATGGGACAGCACAGCGTACTCTTGTCCACCGATTCCAGGAAGCAGCCCTGACCACAAAAACATGCGCTGGACGTTAAGCGCCTCCTTTTGTTAAATGACTCCAGCTCATATCCACCCAAACGACAATGTAAGTTCCTTCTGGCATGCGCGAGTACTCACCTTGCAGAAAGTGTGCGTGCAGGGCAACGTCACCGGCTCCAGAAACAAATCCAAGCACACCGGACACAGACAGTCATCGAGAGAAAGCGGTTCCTCTCTCTTCCCTTTGCCTTTCCCCTTTCCTTTACTGCCCGACGAAGAGGGGACTGCCACCTCAGTGTCCGGATCTGGCATAATTATCTTCCCCCTCCACCTTGTTCCTGTGCAGCCAGTGGAGGGATTGGAGCCATCAATCACAAAAAAGAAACAGTATTACAGTATACCAAGGCGGACACACCAGAAGGAGCAGCACAAGGTTACATTAAAGTATTGCATTGCATTAAATCCCGAAGAATAAAGTGTTTAATGTGTTACTATTTTACTCACCATGTGTTTCTTCAGAACACAAAACAAGTGGTACATCTCCATTTGGCGGAAAAACTACAATATCTGTACTACTACTACTACTACTACTAATAATAATAATAATATATTCGCGAATATCTGCTTTTCGCGGCCGGTCTTGTCCCCTAACATCCGCAAACATTGAGGGTTGACTGAACATACACTTTCCTGCATTTACTTTATCCATGACATGATCCCAATATCCTATGAAATGCAGTACCCACATTAGTTGGAAGAGTCAATGGTTAAAGTTAGTTGAAGCCCTACAAACGTGTGTCAACGCTTAGCTGTTACCCTTAGCAAAACATTGCGCTGAAAGAAAGTAACCTCGGATGGCAACAACGAGAAACTACAAATCCAGACACTTTTACAGAAGAGCTGCTTACCGCTCGTGAGTTATGTCCCTTCGGTAGATTTATTAGACGATCTTTATATTCGCTGCTGGTCCCAAACAAATCCAGTGAGCCGTTAGCTCTCAAACTACGACGATTTAGAGTCCGACGGCCCGGACTCAGATCCCCTTCGGTCGGACGGATGAACACCAAAGTGCTCCGACAAAAAGGGTAAATCGATATATGTTGTGCCCTCACATCAATGGGCTGACAAACTGTACTTATTTGATTAATGTGAGGGAATCTCAGTGCCATCACCCGCCTAATCCCGCTGGTGACGTCTGCGCACGCGCAGTCAGCATCAGATTGGATACGTAAAATATGACGAAGTGTCGGGGAAAAAAAAAGCCGATGACAACAGTTTTGAGTTATTGAACATATTGACTCTGACTTTATGCTATACTGGAAAAATGTACTATTTGGGTTCTACAAAAGTAAGGAAAAAAAACACAAAAAAACCCTTCATTGTAAATTTAATAATCATTCTCGCTAAATTCCATACCCACAAATCCAGATGGAATAATTCAAAACCTCTTTTCTTAATTTTTGAAGCAGAAACAAAGCAGTACCTGAGTTCTTTTCTGGATTCCAAAAACAAGAAAGCTGTTAAGGCTCTGGCTATATGCTCCTTATTTGAAATTTTTGTCTAATAATCCCCTGGCTTCTTTTTTGTTTAAACGTTTGTAATATATGTTTGTATTAATAACATGTTCGTTTTGCTTTCTGTTTACTGAGAATTGTATTCTGACTTGTTCAATAAAGTTAAAAAAAAAAACAAATTTTGAGTGTTTTGTACCATGACTTGTTCGAATAAAGATTCATTTAAAAAAAAAAAACAGTTTTGAGTGTTCTTACTTTACAAATTAGTTTTCAACAGATTCATACATAGCAATGCCATGTTATGTCTCATATTTAATTTCTCTAAATATGCAATTATTGTGATGACACGTCAATAATAGGTAATAATCTTTGTGATAAATCTCTAATTACTAATAGAACGTCTTTTGTTTCGTTGACAGGGGGAATTTTGTTTTCATTTTACCCTGGTTTTGAAAATACAAGGATACCACCCGACAGCATGTCAGGAAATGCTGCTGCCTGGTGCAAAGAAAATAGAGTCCTTTTAAATTTTATTGATTTTGATGCTGGTATTGGTTTTTATTATATTATTCAACTAGGAAGAAAAAAAATCACATAATAGTGTGCAGTCCAGTCCTGGGCACAAATGGTTCTCTCCCACAGGACTGTGATTTTGTGAAAGGAGCTGTGACGTCTTCATTGTGATAAATTGTCATTATAAATGTCTCTACATCAGCACTGACAGTTCAGTAAGAGTAGGGTGTTTGCTATTAAAACTGAAATCCTCGTGCCCTTTTTCTTATTGATGCTAAGCTAACCACATCTTTATTTTGCTGAGATGATTCACTCATTGACTCAGCTGTCCCACTGCACAAACACGCTCTTCTGATTCTCAGAATCTCAGTCCAAGGACGTATTCACGCTGGAGGAGTAAATCATGACATTGCCTTTAAAACTGGCACGATTCCAACTTTTCTCAGGTGCATCTGGTGCGGACAGGAATCACTCGTTGACAAAACCATCGCTCCAAGGGAAAGCTGCACTCTTCTCTTTCTTGCGTTTGCTTCCAGACTCACGTGAGCTCTTCAACTCGTCGCCGCAGCGGTGCTTCTTGAGCTGCCTGGAGTCGGAGAAACCGCGGCCGCAGCTCTGGCACGAGTATAACTTTACGCCCGTGTGGATCTGCATATGCGACTTGAGCTGGTTGGACTGGCGGAATTTACGGCCACACGTGACACATTCGTAGGGCTTCTCGCCCGTGTGGACCAGTAGGTGTCGGTGGTAGTTCTGCGGCGTCCTGAAAGCCTTACCGCACTGCTGGCACTGGTGCGGCTTGACGCCAGTGTGCAGCAGCTCGTGCTGGCGCAGCTGCGACTGAAGCAGAAAGGCCTTCTGGCAAACGGCACAGACGTGCGGCCGGTCGCCATTGTGCTGCCGCATGTGATAGATGTACAGGTGGCGGAGGTGGAAAGACTTCCCGCATGTCTCGCATACAAATTCCTTGTGCTCGGCGTGGCTCTTCTCGTGCGTGCGTAGTGTGCTAACGCTGCTGAAGCTCTTGGCGCAAGTCTTGCAGCTGAAGGCCTTCATACCCACCGATGGCCGCCGACGGCTCCGATTGTCGCCGGGCACACCACCCGCCTTGGCGTGCTCCTTGTTCCCGTGGACAACCAGCTGGTGCTTCTGCAGCTGGCAATTGTAGAAGAATGTCTTGCCGCACAGGTCGCACATGAAGGGTTTCTCCACGCCGTGCACCAGCATGTGCGTTTTCAGGGCCCACGTCCCTGAGAAGCCTTCGCCGCACTTGCTGCACCTGCCATACAAGGAAATCAGTTGTTATTTAAAGGGAATGTTTGATTCAAAAGTGACTTTTTCATGTCTTGGATGAATGTTTTTTTTTCCACCATTTCAGTGTTCCTGACTTTTTTGTCTATGACTAAAATGGGGCCACGTGATGCACTTTGGACTCCGGTATGAGACCCTCTCTCTCTCACTCTATCAGAACTTCAGTGCCTTTCTTCACATCAGTGGTTATCTGGCGCAATTGTGATGTCGAGTTTGTAATAGTTCCTTTGGACAGTGGGCTGGCATGATGTCTGATTTGACAGGCAGCCTGTGGACCGGGCCTTCGCTTTGTTTTCTGTTGAGTGCTCTGTTGTATTATTTTTTTGTTTTATCTTAAATGGTCTGCAAAGCGCTTTGTTACAGCTGCAGCTGTTGTGAAAGAAAAATGTAAATAAAGATGTATTGTCCTGTAATATGCCTCGTTGTCACAGCATGCCTGAGTGTTGCAAAGCAGACCAGGATGGGTCATACTTTTAGCTGTTCATAAAAATTTGTACTGTGGAATACGCCTTGCCGGCTGTTGAATCTTTTTTACACAATGTATGAAATGCTTCGGATGACATCAACCATATTGTGTGTGTGCGTGTGTGTGTGTGTGTGTGTGTGTGTGTACAACTATTGAGTTGATGGACGTAAACTGCAACAAAATTCACACACACAAAAATAATTGAAACCCTAAATCATACGAAAACGAGGCCACATGAAAACTGAGGGGCCACCGTGTTTTAAAAAGAACAGCGCATGGCGTCTTTTTTCCACTTCTGTAGTAGAAAACTTTAGAAAATCTTACTTGAAGGGTTTTTCTCCGCTGTGGAGGCGAAGATGTCTCTGGAAGTTGTACTTCAGTCCAAAGCTCAGTCCGCACGTCTGACAGACAAAAGGCTTCTCCCCCGTATGGACCACGCGGTGCTGCAGCAGGCCCATGCGGCACTTGAAGGCCTTGTTGCACTCGCCGCACTTGAAGGGTCGCTCGTCCGAGTGCGAGCGCTTGTGCACACGTAGGTTTCCGGCGGTGGAAAAGCGTTTGCCGCAAGTCTGGCAGAGGTACGGCCGTGCCCCCGTGTGGACCGTCTGGTGCTCGCGCAGGCTTTTCTTCCTCAGGAAGCCTTTGCCGCAGACGTCGCACATGAAGGGCTTGACATCAGCGTGCGAGATCTCGTGGTAGCGCAGCACCGCCGTCGAGGTGAAGGTGCGCCCGCAGGTGGCGCAGCGCAGGGGAGTTTTCTCCAGCCGGTGCGACGCTTGGTGGGCGCGCAGCTGCCGGGCCAGACGGAATTTACGATCGCACTGCTCGCACGCTAGCATCTTGTCGGGGTCTCGCTCTTGGGCCTCGCGTAACCGGTGGGACTGCTGGTGTTTGTGCAGCGTCTTGGCCTGTGTAATGGAAAATTGAATCCAGCAACTTCACTTATAGACGTGATATCCAGGCACAGACAAAATACATAATATAAAGGAGCTAGGTACAAATACAGTAAATATTCTCTATTAAGGAATCACATTTGCGCTGTCCAATCCTTCCTTACAACTGAATTTCCTTATATGGGAAATGAGCATGTTACATGTCTTTTATGAACATCCAAGTATGTGAACAAAATGCATGTGTAACAACACAAGCAATGAAATGCAAAAATATATGCTCCAAACACTGTTTATAACACAAAACAAACTTAGGACTATTTGTGTGTGTTTTTTTTTTTCTCCCAATCACACCTGGTAGAAGCCTTTGTCACACAGCGTGCACGGGAAGGGTTTGACGTGGCGCAACACGTGTTTCCTCAGCTGGTGCTGCTGGTGGAAGCCTTTGTTGCACAGCTCGCAGAAGAAGCGCTTGTGCTTGTATAGCTCGCGCCGGCGCTTATTCTCCTGCTCCTTTAGATCTTCTTCACTCGCAGCTGTGTCATAAAGAAGACATTTTCTTAAGGTCTCAGGTGATGTCATGCACGGAATCTCCAAAGGCCAACGCCACTGAGTCGGACAGTTTGGAACTTGAGCGACCTCATGACAGCCACTTTGGAGGTTCCACTTGCGTTCTTATTGTAGACTCGTCAAGAGCAATAGCGATTAGGCCTGTAACGACACAGTACTGAAATTTAAAACAGTGACTCCCAACCAGCGTGCCGGAGCACTGAATTGCGCCATGGCTCAACAAAGGTTGCGAATCACAGCTATAAGGACACAAATGTGCGTCATCTTCGAAATGGCAAAACCTTGTGTCTCAAATCCAGTTTTACTCCTATTTGTGTATATTCCCTTCTTACCGAATGGATATTGGAGCATTTAAATCAATATCGGATCACAATGTGAAGAATCAAAATCAAACCGAGTCGCAACCTAAAGGAAGAGTTGCTTGTCCTGAACAGGATCGCTCGGGTGCTGGAGCCTATCCCAGCTGACTTCAGGCAGAAGGGGGACTACACCCTCAACTGGTCGGCAGTCAGTCGCAGGGCACGTATAGACACAAACAAGCATTCACACCCACATCCACACCGTCACTGAGTGGGAATCGATCCTACGGTGCCGCACACAAGTCAGGCGAGTGTACCACTACACCATCAGTGACCCTATTGATTAATTATATTAAATCGTATTTTACCAAAAAAAAAAGCCAAATTATGGGTCAGAAATTGAATTCTTGGTCAACAGATGGACGGACAGACGGAGGAAAAGATGGACAGACAAACAGACAGTCAGGAGTCCATGATTAATCCTCCCGTGAAGGTGATGACTGACCTGGCTGAGCGACGACCACCACCTCCTTTTCTGTTTTAACATCAGCTGGTTCTGCCGTCTTCTCTGCCTCCTGTACAACAAATAAATATCCAGTACCTCATTAGTGTGACAAAAATTAACATATTGCAAAGCA